AGGGCCATTCATGGTTAAGTACTTTTAAATAAATAAGAAAAATCACAGGTTCAGTGGCTGTTGTTTTTGGCGCTGCTCTCTTTCACAGCGAACCTCTTTGCTTCATTTGAGAAGCCAGTATTCAGTAGTAATTGTTAATTATATTTTTTGTCGTTCCGTGATAGAAGATCCAGACAATAACTGGAGCTGATGCAAGGTAATAGGACTCTGAGTTAAAAGCATCATTTCTATAAAGCTGTTGTTTAGCCAGGCATCCGTTCTCTGCCATTGTATTCAACTTCTGAAGTTGGTAAGTGATCATTGTGACGATGAAAAGTATTGCACTAAATCACCATCTGAATGAGGGAATATGCTTGGCCAATTTTCCCTTGCCACCTTCTTCCTACCTCCCTTAAGTTTTCCCACAGCCCCAGAACACCCTGTTGGGCCCTGCTGACCAGCCCCTGGGTCACAGGCTGGGGGCTGCAGGCTCTGCCTACAGCAGCCCCCCACCCCTGCAGACCTGCCCTGTCAGGGGGGGCTTTGTGGCCAACACGAGAGCCACTCGGCCAAGCTGCTGTTCAAAAATAAACCATTTTAGTATTAGTATTATTAATATTCTTAAGTAGCTGCTGCGCGAGTAAAGGTCATGTCACAGAGTGGCATTTTGCCAGGATATGACAACTCATTGATTGCGATTTTTCAACATATTAGTCTGGGGACACTGTGGTAATCGAAAACTATCCAGAACTAATGTATAAATAACTGCCTGCTACCCTGTGCTAAGGCAGCAAGAGTCTCCCGTACGCTCGAAGCCTTTCAAAGGTCTGAGAGGGAAGGCGAGGTCGTGGATCCAGCATTTTCATGTGCCAGAGGGTGTTTGTGTCGTGCCTCCAAATGCTGCCTAAGTTGGAGAAGGAGGAAAATCCTTTTGTTTGCACCCGAAGACAGCTCGAGTGTGTTCAAACTGTCAAATGTTGCAGCCTGCTCCTTTCTGAGTGAGGTGCTGTGCTTCACACATTTTCTTTATAGAAATATTAATATAAAACTCAAATATTTACACCTGCTATTTGAGCAGGAGGAGAAATGTTGAACCATTACACAGAACAGATTGTAGATTTTTCTCTAGAAAATTGTGTCACTGGCGGAATGAATAATAAATAATATAATTTCCATCACATTCAGGAAAAACATACTGTATGCGCCATAGAGTGATGGTCAAAAACTTGGATTATTTTTTGAGAGATTTCACTGCTAACGTTGGGTGTTGGGTGCGGTTTTTTAGATTAACATGCTCTGGCAGAATAAAAGAAGGCAAGAATTTAGGCAGGAGTGAAAAATGTATTCGAAATCTAAAGAAATGTTAATAGTACTCATTTGCAAGTAGTCATGAGGCTACAACCTTTGAAACAGGAGCTACAGTATATTGTGTAGAAGCCACAGATTAAGTAATATTTTTTCTTAAAAAACTGAAAATTGAGATTGGCAAAACAAATTGCCAATTGTTTGAATTATTAAGGGCCTATTTTAATAAAAGGGTAAATGTTTTAAAGACCTCAATTGAAGTGTGTTCACACTCTTTTAAACACCAAAATGGCTAACAGACAAAATGCCACTATTTTTGCATCTGTTTATGGCTTGGGGATCACAGGGAGAAGACAGAAATGCTGTAAATTTTGTAAAAAAAAAATAATTAAGAAACCTTGAGAAAGTAAAATCTGTCTCATGGATCATTAACACATTCTGATTTTTTTCAAAGAAGAAGATCCATATTTTCCTCTTTCCTGTCTCTTACATATTCCTCAGGTCTTTTGTGTGATTCCTGTGATTCAAAAAATTGCTCTGTAAAATGTTTTACAACGGGCTGTGGTTACAAGTTTCTGTGCAAGTCTGGCAAGTTTGAAAAAAAAAATATTTAAAAAAAAACCCCAGGCAAGCCATTGTAAAAATAGAAACATTAAAGCAATCTGTTATGCTTCTTGTTTACAACTCATCTGACATTAGGCTACTGAGGTTTATTACATGTAACAATTATATTTTGATTAGGATAGAGATATGTACAAAAATACTAAAATATTTCTATTCCCACATGAAAGGAAGGTATCTTGTGATTTAATTTCCAAAACGTTATGTAAATTTAAAATGTCAGAAAATGCAGAATTTAAATTTGTTCCTGCTTGTTTTGCAGTATTACTAGTTATTACAGTTAAGACCACTTTACTCTCCCAAACTTCTAACCCTCAGAGAAGAAGGGGAGAGAGAAAACTGTTACTGGCTTTCTGACAATGGCAGGGAGTGTGTTAAACCAGTGTAAAATTCAATTAAACTGTCTAGCCAGGTTTTTGAAGCTGAAATGCAGACCCTTTCAGTTAAGCTTCTTATTTTCCTGTGACCGACACCGGTGGATACTGTGTTATGCCAAAACCAACAGGCTGTAAAGCACCTTGTTTCATGCTCCTAGCTGATCAATATTTTTATTTTCCAGGCTTGCCCAGAAATATGGAGGCAGTATCACCTAACAGTAAGTAGAAACACCTTCTTTATTTTCTTCTACACCCAACCTATTTACTCTTCTGTGAACTGCTGACCATAAAATATAGACAAGCATCTTCTGCGAGAAGATAATAAACAACTGAAGAGTTTTTGAGCTGAAGAATGCAATGAAACACTATTTTTTAAACATCTTTAGAACTTATGATTTTGTTGTAATACTGTAATCAGTAAATGAGTGCCTTGCAGCACTCTCTCCTCTCAGTGACTACATTTACACATATGAAGAGGGTTAAATTTTAAGTTGAGATGCATCACAGAAGCAATAATCCCATCTCAGATATCCCAGCTGCTGGTAATTAGTCACTGTGTGCCACAAAGCTTTCTTTTAAATGAGTAAAATAAATCTCAGCTGTAGTCGAGATATTAAATTGAGAAGTACACTTTATAAACTTTTGCAGTTAATTTCTAATTGGTAGGGATATAGCTGTAACTTCTTTGGCCTGCATTAGTTGGTCTTTAATGGTTGAAACAAAAAAATAAAACTTTATGAACTGTCCCAGTGTATTACTTAAGGTTTTCATCATATGCAAAATAGAGATAAAAACAAAACAAAAAGCGTACAAATTTAGCTAATATTGAAACCTGGAACAGTATTTAGCTGGTTAAGACAATATTCAATGGATATGTGTCACAGATCTTGAGTGTATTAATTTATAAAATTATTACACATAAAAACACCTTCAAAGATGAGGATTTTTGCTGTCTCTGCTGCCCAGATAATCCTCATATGTAGTTACCTCTTATAATTAACCACTGCTGTCTGTTCAAATCAAAGTGGAAAAGTTTGTCCACTACTTTTCTTTGTGGTTCCTTGGTGTGTTTTTTTTCTTTTCAGCAATAAATGTGACACACTTTATAATTTGTTGCCTCCACCTTTTCATGATGTGGAATTCTCTTTTTTTCTGTTTTTGCTTCTAAATTCAGTGATTAGGAGAAATCTGTGCTTAAAACCTTTGTGCTTATGTTTTCTGCATAAGGATTTTAAAGCAAACATCTGTTTTGGAAATTCTCCACCGTCTCTGAGCATTTACTTTTAAAAATAATTAGCATTAGATTTTTTAAAAAAACAACTACAACAAAACATTAAAAGGTGCATTCACTGAGTATTTTTGTTTGCCTTTTTAAAGTTGCATGAAGAAAAAATATAAATCCTATTCTTCCTTAGAATCCCTAAGAGTGCATGTAAAAATGATTTCTGAAATGTTTATGGTATTTGGAATCCAATAATCAGATAGGTGAATTAAATGCAGTAATACATTGTGTTCTGATTTTTACTGAGGTATAAGATTTAATTAATTTAATCTTGCTTGCTGTTGAAAATTCCTCAAAAAGTGAGTTGTAATCAACACTTAGAAAATACTTATTTTTGTAAAAAAGTGTGAGGGATCTTAAACCAGAGCAAGTGGCCAGTAGGACAGAATTTGAGGTAGAAAATTTTATCTGTGAATTCTGTAGGAACTGTTCTGAGTTTACACTTGACTTATTATAAAGCTAACAACATTTGTCAAAACAGGCTCTTGTTAGAAAATGCTGCAGTTAAGAATACAAGTGCATTATTAAAAGTACCCTTTTGGAAATTTTGAAATGTGGTGAAATATGAGCACACGAAGAAAAAGTGACATTCAGTCAGATCCTGCCTACTGCTAAGTGATTTTTTTTCTTCATTTTGCAGCGGACTGCAAATTCTCTGCAAATAATCCAGATTTCTGGTGTGTGTTTCTGCATGTCTCAATTTTTTGCAAGACTCGCTTTGGCACAGAGTCACACTAGTGGTCAGGCTAAACCTGGAATTTAAAAAATTGTGCGGCAAAAGACACGCTTGATATTTAGAATAAGCTATTTGTTTAAGTGTGTGAGTCCCTGCTTTTATTGTTCCATTTAAATACTCTCTTTTGCACCCAAAGCAGAACAGAGATAAATCATGTTCTCACAAGAATCAAAACTTCTGTTGGAATAATGTGTATTTTATATATATATATATTTGTAAGTTGTAACTAAAAGCTTGAGATCTTTTACTCTCATATCAGTGTAGCAGTATTTCACTCTAGAAATTATTTCATAATTTTCCTAGCCTAGAATAAATATTCCTGTGCAGAGTAACTGTTTAAATGAAAATAACAGAAGTTTAAAAAGAAGCACTGCTGTGGTGGCTGCTGTGCTGCTGCCTGATCTTTAGCGAACAGACTCGGGGCTGCAGTGAGTTTTTCCTGTACTTTAGCCATGGATACAACCACTAGATTTAAATTGATTTTGGTAAATTGATCACAAGTGTCACACACACAGGTGCATATAAGTGCAAATAGAACAAGGTATCCAGGTTTGTCATTAAAGACCATTTTTATGACATTGCTTAGAGATAGCCATTTAAAAAATTGTCTAAATGTTTTGCTTTTTATAAAGTAATCTTAGTTAATTACTGTGAATGCTTGAGAAAAAAACACACAGCCTTCCACCTTTCTCTTTTGTGAAGCTTTTGGTGATTTTATTCATTATCTGGCTCTTTCCTAAGAGATGGACTGCCATCTATTGACTTCTGGTAGCCCCTGCACAGAAACGTGGATTGACTAGAACAATGACTAAATAAGAAACCCATTCTGCTCTTATGGGTGGTGGTAGGTTTTTGTTTACAATAGCTGTGGTGACAAATTTTGGCACATTGCAAATAATTTGTTACATGGGCAGAAATGTCTTACTCCAACCAAAACAGACTGCCAGTGCAAGAAATCTTAGGAGCAGCTGAAATGGCAAAAAGGATTATAAGTGGAATATTTTAATTTGCCTTTTGATAGAAAAAAAGATTATCATATTGTATTCAATGAAGCTTAAATTTAAAGACTCTATGATAATCAAAGCTTTATAACTGGATGAAGTTACTTTCTTTAAACTTGTTCTTTCAACTCTGTTAACTAAAATTATTCTGCAAAAACCAATCAAAGTCAGCAGAACAATCCAAATCCCACTGAGGTTTAAAATAATATTTAATAACCTCTTTAAGATGGTGATTTAAAACTTTTACAAATAATTTCCATTGTGCCTGCTCTCTATGCATTTCTTCTATATCAGAAGAGGGAAATTACATTTGTCAAAACATATTTTAGATTTTTCTTCATAGATTTTAGATTTTTCTTCATTTATTGCCTATTTGCAATAAATAGGTGGGTGTCAATACCCGCTTATGTTTATCAAAGGGGTTATTATCACTTCAAATAATAACACCAGGACTTCATTTGCAGACCCAGGAAAAGCAGTTTTGGTCATAACTTACTGTGGTGTAAATAATAACACGTAATTTTTTCACACACAAGGCATTTGAAGGTCTCCTAAAGCTCTTTGTTCTAGATTATTAGGAAGCTTAGCTTACAACTTTGTCTTTCTGAATGCCAGATTCTCCACAAACCCAGAGAAATACAGTTTGTGATCCACAGGACATGCCATCGCATCCCTTTTTTCCATGTCTTAAGGGTTCTGGGGGTGCTCCTAGCAGGGCTTTCTTGTCCTCAGAATGCCTCCCTTCTTTTCATTCCCTTCTCTTGTTGTTTTGGATTTCAGCTGTAAAGGTAGAGACATTTATTAAATATTTTATACTCAAGTGGGGGCCAGTTCATGGCCGCCTATTTACGGAAAAAAAAAAACACCACAAATGCCCAGCGCCAGCCGCGCCGGGAAGCGATCCCGCTGCTGCGGGGCAGGGATGTTTGGCGCGGGGTGGGCAGCAGCATGGCTGGGGGGACACAGAACCCCTCTGGGTGTGGGAGCTCAGGGGGCTGGAGCTGCCTTCCCGGGGCGTGGGAGCTGCTGGCCTGGACCAGCCAGGGGCTTTGGGGTCCACCCTGTGCCCACCCTGCCGGGAGGCCAAGACCAGAAATCGCTGCTGTTGGCTCTCACCTTTCCACCCAGCAGGGACATCACCACAGAAAAAAAGAGGAAATTTCTTTCCGGCCTGTGGTGACCCATGTTTTGCTTCAGGCATGAAGATGTGCTTCCTCCGGGAGAGCCCCTGAGGTGCTGGGGGGTCCCCAGAACACCTGCAAACGGCCCCCTCAGGGAGTCAGCACTGGAGGAGCGGCCGCAGTGCTCAGAGGGACACAAAAACCCACCTGGGCAGCCCGGCCCAGCAGCAAGGTGTAGACACAATCATCACAAAGGAATTAAAGTTGGAAGTATTAGTATCTTCTTCACTAAATATCTAGAGAAAAATGAAATTTCCTCCCTAGAATGGGCAGAGCACAATTTTTATTTTTCTAAGGTGTTTCTTGGTATATATGCTTATGTTAAAGAACAGATCCTGCTCAGATGAGGTGTTTTCTTTCTGTAGGAATTGCTCATTTTTAATAACCTCTTCCTCCCCCTGAACTGCTCTGGCCATACGACTCCTTCCCCCATCCCCTGCCTTCACCAACCTCATTTATATTAAAGCTCTTAGGCCAAGATGGCCACCAACAGAGTTTTAGAACCATCAGAATTTTTAACTAGCAGAAGCTATCATTTAACATGCTTTTTGACAGTTTGTTAATCTTACTTTTAATCCACTTACATAAAAGAAAGTGAACCAGGAATTGGCTGGTTTGGCCTCTGTGTGTAAAAGACATGAAGGGACAATGCATCTTTTGTGTTTAAATTTTGCGCTCGGATTTCTTTATGTGGATTATTAAAATTCCTCATGGCCTGCCACTTTTTTTTTTCTGAAATGAAAACGTAAGCAGTGTTCTTAAAGTCAGTTTGAGTCCTTTAAAATGGGACTTTCAGAAGCAGAACATTTAAGATACTGCTCTAGCAGAAAATATTGAGGCTTGAGCGAGCGTTTGGTTTCCGACAAGCCTTGTCGGTTTTGTGTGGTGAGGGAAGGGATAAGGTGAGGAGCATTTTTGGGAGGAGATGAATCCTGGCCCCCACATGCAGGGACGGGACGTGGCCGCAGTGCCACCTCCTCTGCTTCTTGCCTGGCACAAGATCCTCACGTTGGGTATT